CTCGCAAATCGAGCCGGTTTCGAGGCAGCTATTCACTGGTACACCTTTGTTGGTTTTAATTAGAGATGTTTTTTTTCGGTTTTTTTTTAAAGATCGTCTGTTACTGAAAAAGGAATGAATTTTGGGTGTATTTATGAGGTGACTCTAAGAGCTTCTTCGTTTGAGAGGAATTTGTGGATTAAGGATGTTTGTGCTGATGCAGATTTTTATGGGAAATTGGTGATAAAGAGGGATCATGAGTAGAAATTTTACAAATTTCAGAAATTTGTGGAAAATGAAAATGTGTTCTTTATTAGATATGGCATTTGTTGGTTTCATCAGAAGCGGTGCGATGTTTTTTTCTTAATTAAAATTTAACAGGTTCTGCAGAGAGAGCATCAAAGAACTTGTAGATTGACGAAGAAGTGTCGTATCCGGTGAAAGAGACTGTATATTGGTTTTATAAATGTGCTTCAGTATTAAGAAGATCTTGTGAAAGTTATTTAGAAAAAGTTGATATTAATTATAACTCGATCTAGCAAATAACGAGGTCGTAAGTTAATTTCTCGAGTGGTGACACCGATTGACGTTGCACGACCCTCTTTTCGGCATGTACGTGTTCTGAGAATAATAAAATAAAATTGCAGCTGATATATTTGAAATCAAATTCCCATATTCCAGGTTTCAAAATTGCAAATTCCCAAAGTCTAAAGGTCCAAGCTCTAAATTTCACAATTTCAAATCTGCAAGTGTCCTAGTTCTACATTTGCAAATTCCAAATTCTCAAATTCCAGATTTCAAAATTGCAAATTCCCTAATTCCAAATTTGTAAATTGCAAATTCCCAAATTCTAATATTCCAAATTTCCCAAATTCCCAAATTCTAAATTTCCAAATTCCCAAATTCCAGATTTCTAAATTGCAAATTCCCAAATTCCAAATTCCCAAATTCCAAATTGCAAATTCCCAAATTCTAAATTTCCAAATTCCCAAATGCCAGATTCCAAAATTCCAAATTCCCAAATTCTAAATTTCCAAATCTCCAAATTTCTCCGAAATTCGGAAATTTCCTATTTTTCAACGACCCGAAAATCGCAAGGAATCACGCGTCCGCCCTCCTCTTCCGGCAAAATGGCGTGTGGGGGTTAAATCGTGTTGGATTCACAGCGCCGCCTTTGGCCAGGATTAGGCGAGGCCGGGTGAACGGTTAACGAGCCACCCTTGTTTGCGCTAAACTCGTTACCGGCTGCGCCGTACCGGAGGCTACGAGACCACATGCACGCGACTCGCCGGAAAGAGTCGCGTACACAAAGCCACCTACAGAGAAAAGATTTCCTCTTCCTTCCTTTACCACCCTCAACTTTCACACTATTCCACGAAATTGCACCTATCCCTGCCAATTATAGTTGAAAAACTACACGCACACATTTCAACATTACAATTCGTTCCCTTTATACGTCTCACGAATAACAAACCAAACGATGTTTTATTTCAACTCTGCTTATTTTTCACAGGCTACAAGAATACAGAAAAAATTTATGGCGTTAGGAACTTTTACACTCTGTTAGAAAATTGCATTTATGCGAGAACAATTGTACCTCAGCATTGTGATTCTTTTGTATTCTTCGTCCAAGGTAAAAGAAGAGACTTTGAGAATATTTTAGAGAGTCGTATTGTAAGTTTCGAGTCGTTGTTTCAAAGGCTTTTGGAAGACAAAGGAAACATGATTTATCAACTTTTACACTGTCCTACAAAATTATCGCTGTAAGACTCTAACCCTAAATTATCAAACACCACTGAAATTACTAAACTAAAAAAAGGCCACTGCAAAAACTGCTAAAAAAATCTCTTCAAAAATCGCAACTCTTCATCTCCAAGATAAACTAAACGCATCCTTCATACCCCGGGACATTACTAAAACGTCAAACATCCGAGCCCCGCCTCTAAAACTTGCAAAAGCCATTCGAATTACCAAAGTGTACCACAGAAAATCCAGCGAAAATCCCTTTTTCAGCGTCGACTTATCAGTCGAGATAACCAGACCGCGAAGAGACCCACACACCGAATTCAACGTTCCAAGGGAACTTTTCCCCGCAAATCCCCCCCCGTGTATCTCGACCGAAGATAGCAGGGGATTGGTGGGCAAGTTCAGAGTCCCCTGGGGACCCGTTTCCGGCTTCTGAAACAGAATCCATAGGTACCAGAAACGAATCGAATTCCCCGTCGTTCTTCAATGAATCAAATTCCTCCTGTACATCCTATCCTTCTCTTTTCTCACAAAAATACCTACTCTACACGGTCTACGGGGAGAGAGAGAGAGTAACGTGGTTGTCGTGGATAAAAATAAGAGGAGGATCTTCCTTGTTTGCGTGATCCACGAGACCAAGCTTGCGTTACAAGGCCGGCTGCTTTCAGTCTAATGGAGCACGAATGTCACGAAAGTCAGCAAAAACTCTTTCACCCTCGATGATGTGATCTAGTTGGCGAGGGGAGTGCCGATGATCGTACCGGGAGCCCTTGATCTCTCGGGCGTGATAAGAACGCGTCGAGCATCGATGAACGGTGCATTTCGCGTCCTGATCATACATTTTTTCCTCGCGTTACACAAGGGACGCGTGGCCACGAGCTGTCTTTTTTCTGAGCTGGATGAACTTGACGGTGAACAGCGCTCGATACGCCGAGATCTGTTCGTCGTGGAACATTCGTGGATGATGGTGAGAGTGTAATTAATGGGACAGTTTATGGAGTAGTCTTGTTGGTCTTGTGTGAATTGTATTCTGTTTTGTAGATTTGTGAATTTGGTTTTCGGTAAAAGGATCGAAGGTGTGTTTAGTGATCTTTAATTTTCTACGTTAAAAATGAGAATCTGATGTTTCTGTATGTACATAATTGTAGGAACCTAGGGAAAAATATTGAGAGACCCAACGGGAATCGAACCCGGGACCTTCGGCTTAGCAAGCCGAGGCTTTGCGCGCTACGCCAACCACTCCCTCTCTATTGTCCCTTCGAGGTTTCCTATTTGGGTACGGAGGCCCCGATACTACACTCGGCCATCCTGAACTGACAGTCGCCCTCGGATGTCCTCAGTGCAACACAACTCAACACTTTCAGGCACACTCGCCCACACAGTGGCACACAGCCGAAACAACGCATTTTTGGGAGACATGCAACCCTCAACATGTTTTCATCGCACACCTCCTGGCTTCGTGTAGCCGTAGATACC